CCAAACTTACTGCATGGCCTTGGGCAAGTCTCCTCCGCCCCCCCAGGGTCCTGATTCCCAGTGGTGAAATAAGGGGGGCCTTTGCTGGTCCTTGATTCTCTCGGGGGTCCCCCAGATTGAAGGCACCTTACCACTTCCTGGTTGCTGCCCCACCTCCCTCCACCAAGCCCCCGGAACCTTCTCCAATGCCTTTGACAAATATCAATCTAGACCCCGCTATGTGCCAGTGACTGTACGACGTGCCGGGGACACAGAGGTGGGAAATGACAGCGTCCCCCTCCTCCCAGCGCTGACAGTCTAGACAGGCAGACAGGAAATAAGTCAGGGAACCTACAAGCGCTCAGAGAGTTGCCAACAGCAGTAAGTTCTGTCGCAGGGTCAGGGGTGGCAGAAGGAAAAGCAAAACGGAAGGGAGGTGCTCTGGGGAAAAATAACTGCAGGTGGGGTAATCAGGGAGGGCTTCTCCGAGGAGGTGACATTCAAGCTGAGGCCTGAAGTATGAGAATGCACTAGCTGTGCAAAAAACAAAAGGAAAAACATTCCGGGCAGAAGGAACAGCTTGTGTTGAGGCCTTGACTGGGAAACAGTTTGGCACCTTCTAGCAACCAAGGGGAGGCCAAAGTGGCTAGAGGGGTGTGTGGGTGTGGTGTGGTGGGAAGCTTGGCAGGGGCCCCCCCTCTCCTGTCCTCCTTGCCTTGACCCACCCCCCAGGCCCACAGTGAGCGAGGCTGCAGCTACCGAGGGGCGGGGCTGGGTGAAGAACAAGGTTACACGTGCTGCCTCTTTTTTCCCTTTTCTCCTGGAGCATAAAGAGCTCTTTCTTTTCTGCTTATTAATAGCTCTGATTAAATTATCTCTGAAAAACCTACGTGGTGTGCACCAATGGGGGCTCGGCTCCCTCCGCGCTCTGGCCTAGATTACAGCAAGGAGGGCAGGTGAGGCAACAGGGGGGTGGGGCAGGAGCCTGGGGCAGGCTGCTCCCCCACCCCATGCCAGGATAAATGCTTTCCTGCCTCCTAGCCTCTCCCCAGCCCCACCTCTGCTCCTGGGACATCCACGGCTCCCTCCCTCAGAACGCTAGGCCTTTGCATTGGCAGTTCCCTCTGCCAGGAGCCCCCTTCTCTCCCCTCGCCCCTTGGCGACCTCCTACCTGTTTTTCCCAGGGCAGCTGATCAGCCTTTCATCACCGGCCCTCTGCTGGGTCAGGTGCATGCTCTGGGCTGTCTCCTCTCCCCGGATGATACCCGTTAGTTGCCATGTCTGTGCCCCACGTGAAACTTGAGTTCTACAAGGCCCAGGTTTCAGTCTGGGTCATTGCTGAATGCCCAGTGCCAGGCACGGGGCAGCCACTGAGGAAATGTTGAGTGAATGGATGAAGGCATTAGAGGAGGAACAGTCAGGCCTTGGTGAAACCAGATAAGGGCGTGTCTAACCTTACCTGCCTGGGAGGGTGGGAACAAAACTTTCAGGCTCCAGGCACCCTTATGGATGCCTATATGGCAATGAACCCATTTCACAGATGGGAGAAACTGAGGCACAAAGAGGCACTCTTTGAGGCCCTCCCTCCTCTTTTTCACACTCCCTCTCTATAAAGAAAACAAGACAAAAACCAAAATTCATTCGTTGATGCAGAGATTAATTTAACAAACTTTTATCGGGCAGGGACTGCACGCCAGGCAGTCCAAATGCAGCCTCTGCCCTTGAAGAGCCTTCGGGCTGGCAGGAAGCCTGACAAAGAAGTGGACCGTTAAAACACACACTGGGCACCGCTATGAAGGTGGAAGTGCTCCAGCCCAGAGAGGGTAGTCAGGGAGGGCTTCCCAGAGGAGGTGGCACCCTGGGTGAAATCGGAAGGAGGAGCAAGAGTCAGCTACCTGGAGGGAGGACATTCTAGGTGGAGGGGGATGGCATGTGGAAAGGCCTGGAGGTGAGATGTGGAAGGATGTGCAGGGATTTTAGCCACGTTGGTGTGTAGAGCAGCAAACGGGAACAGTGAGGAATGAGGTGCCCTCTGCCCCCTGCCCCCTCGGGGCCTCTTGGACCCCTGGCCAGAGCCAATGTTCAGGGGCTGGCCTGCCTGGTGGTTCTGTGGACCGTGGCAAATCCATCTTGACACTGTCTCCAATCACATCATGCAGAGTTATTGGACTCGACCAAGAGCAAAGGCACGAGGGTCTGACCTCAGGGAGGTGGGCATATGGGGGGGGTGGAGCTCTGGGAGCATGGGGAGGGGGACATAAGTAAAGGCCCGGGGCTGAGCATCTTATGGGACACTCACTAGCCAGGAGGCGTGTGAGAGGCACCTGGAAGCTTCTGACCTTTCCCTAGACAGCTGCCTACGAATCTGCTGCTGCCCAAGAGCCCACCGTTAGCACATCATGGATCACAGAGATGCAGGGGCTTTTCAAGATCTTCTAGACCCCAGGTTGTCAGCCCTGGTCGCATATAGGGGATCTTTGAAAACTGCCAACCCACCTAGGAGACTCCGATCGGAGTCTGGACTTCAGGCCCTGCCCTCCATTTTACAGCAGAGGAAACTGAGGCCAGAGAGAAGAAACTCACCCTCAAGGTCACACACAGTTAATTAGTGTCTGGCACAGGGTGCAATAAATCAAGGTCAGGGGCTCTGGCCTTTGGGACCCAGTTCTGTCATAGTGTGACCTTGGGCAAGTCACGTGGCCTTCCTCTGCTGCAAGATATGGATAGTAATCATATGTACTTTACGGGGTTTCTGTGAGGGTAAAAGGGGATAGAAATCTGTGATATAAACAGCACGTGCTTAGCACAGAGGAGGTGTCAAGCCTTGGTGACCTGCAATGGAAAAAAATCCCAAATTCTGCAAAAGCTGTGGTGTGGCCCACTGCCTCCTTCTCCCCTTCCCGTTCTTTCTCTCTCTCTTCCCAGGGTTTGGCTTTTGCTGTCTCTGGCCCTGTCCTCAGCTTCAGTGCGGTTTCCCCACCTGTCCACACCCTGAGTCCACCCAGTGAGTCGCCCAGGCAACAATCCCTGATGTCATCGCAGCAGCTCTGGGGCCAGCCCAGAGCGGAAGCAGCTGGCAGCTGGATCACTTTTCCAGGTAAATCCCCACCCCCACCTACAACCTGGGGAGGGGAGGAGGAGGCGGGAGAAGGGGGAGAGGAAACGGGAGCCACTGCGGAGAAATAGAGCAGATCATGGAGGCCTGTAGCTGCTGAGAACCGCTTGCGTGGCAGCCGTGGAGGCCTGAAACAAGGCCAGCTCCTGCCCTAGATAAGGCGGCGGTGGCCTACTTGGGCCGGCCCTGGAGGTCCCCCGTGGGTGCCTCTCCCAGGCCGGGTGGGTTGGCTCCTGCAAGTAGGCTAGGGCAGGACTATAATCAGCCCAGCCACTGGATACACTCACCAGGGGCTCCCAAACCCTGTCATCTGGATGATTACAGCTGGCATTTAGTGAGCACTTACTGTATTTTGACTCCTTTACACGCAATGATTCATATCACCCTCACAGCAACCCTAGGAGGTGCCTGCCCTTTCACAGACAAGAAACTGAGGCACAGAGCCATGAAGGCAAACGGCCAAGACCAACAGCCAGCAAGGGCAGGGCTGGAACCCCACCCAGGTTCCTGGGTTGCCAGGTGGCACCCGGACACAGCCTTAGGGGTGGGAATGTGGCTGCTGCTTTGCATTTCTGTGGGGATCTTGAAGTTTATCCTGGAAAGCTGGCCCCCACAACTTCCTGTGTGGCAGACACATGGCAACAGAGGGAATGGCCCCATCCGGGACTCTATTTCCCCAACTGTAAAAGGGGACTGCTAACTGGGCCACCCGTGGGCTATAAGAACCTATGAAACTTCTTAGATAGTAAAAAGCAAGGTGCAATATAGTTTGTTTAATGGATGCATATTTGGACCCCAGGTTGGTGTGATACTGTGCCTCAGTTTTCCCATCTGTTAAGTGGAGAATGCCACTGCCTGCCTCCTATGGATGTGGTGCACATCCATGAGGTGTAGCTTGCAAAGAGCTCAGCACAGGGCCAGGCATATAGTGACCCACAAGTCTCAGCTGTGATGCTAAAATCCCCAAATATGCCTTGGGACAAAATATTCAGGACAGAGAGTCATTTCACATCTCTTAGCCTCAGTTTCTTCTGTAAGTTGAGAGTGTAATATTAGTACCTACCATACATAGCAGTTTTCTCATCTATACAATAGGGGTGATGATAACACCTACCTCATACAGTTGTTGTGAGAATTAGGTAAAGTACTTTGATGCGTGTTAGCTACTGATATTATTTTTGTTGTTATTATTAACAAATTTCTCATGGGGTTGTTCCAAAGATTAAATGAAACAATACAGATAACGACTTAGTATAGTGCCTTGCCCCAAATATGTGATCAATAAATGATACTGGTTTTCCCACGCCTGATTCCTCGACAACAGGACTACAAGTACCAGCATGCTCTGCGCCCCCAGTCAGTTCCCCTCCGCCCGGCGCCGGCGCGCAGCATGCCGGGAGTTGCAGTCCTCGCGAGGTAGGCCCCGCCTCGTCCCAGCTTGGGGGAGGACGTTGGAGAGCCGCCCTGCCGGCCTTTGAATTTTGCCGCGAAAAGCGCGCGTGGCAGCCCCCGGCCCCGCCCCCAGCGGGACGCGGCGCCGCGTCACCCTGGTAACCGCCTCTCGGCCGCCGCTGATTGGGCCGGACGGCGGGGGGCGGGCGGGGGACGAGACGCGGCTGCTGCTGCGGGCGCTAGCGCCTGTCAGTCGGGCCGAAGCGGAGCAGCGGGCAGGACGGCCGGGCTGGCGGCTCCGCGGAGAGGCTGCGCACGCCGGCCGGGGGAGGCGGACAGCGGGCCCGCCGCCTGCGGGGCGCGGCGCGCGGCACCCGGGCCTCAGGCTAGGCGAGTGGCCGCGCGCTCAGGCGGCGAGGCTGCGCCCCGGACCCGCGCGCCGCTCGGGGCTATGGGCGCGTGAGAGCCCCGCGCGCGCCGCCCCTGCCGCAGCTCGCGAGCTCGCACACCCGGCGCGCTGTCCCCTGGGCCGTCCCCGCGTCCGCCCTGCGCCACTGGGACCGGCTATTTCTCGGCGCCGAGGCCCCCAAGGCTGCACCCGAGCTTCCGCCGCCCGCCGCCGCCGCTCGCCGGCTTCCCCTCCCCCCACACCAGGGGCTTGGAGCAGGAGGAGGAGGGGCCGGTGCGTTCTCGCCGCCGCGCTTTGCAACCTGCCGGGGACGGTGCATGCCCGGCGAGGGGCCGGGGCCGCCGCAGGTGCGTGCAACCCCCGGAGGAGACGCCCCCCACCTCCAGGCGAGCCCGGTGTCTGCAAGCCGCGGGCGGGCGGGCGAGAGGAAGCAACAAAGACAAGCGGCAGCTGGGGCTGCCGAGAGGGGCCACGGCCGCCGGGCTCCCGGCGCGGGCGGAGAGGGCGCCCCGGGAGCGGCGCGGGCCGAGCTGCAGCGGTGATCCGGGCCCCGAGGGGCGGCGCAGCGCCGCCCGCCGGACGCGGCGAGTACAGGCCCTGGAGAGGATGCGTCGCCTGAGCGCCCGCGCCGCCCCAGTCCGGGGCGGGCAGGACCCCCGCTGAGCGGAGACAACCCCGACTTCGGACGGCGCGGGCGGCACCGGATAGCCCTCACCGAAAGCGCTCCTTCCCACCCGGAGAGAGGCACAGGCCCCCGCGGGGGCTTCCTCCGCAGCCTCGGCCACCCTGCATGGCTGCGACCAGCCGCGCGGAGCGTCGCGGTCGCTGAGACCTGCTGCCCTTCGTCGGCCTGGCTGACCCGGTGAGTTGCGCGGGGCGCGGTCTGGGCTGGAGGTGGGGACACCCGCTGGCGTCGGGGCGGCTCAGACTGGACAGGAGGGGCCCTAGGCCGCTGGGGTCCCGAAGCAGCGGCGCCTCGCCCGCCCCTTTCCCTCCACACGCTACTTGTTGGGACTGGCCGGCCGGCCGCAGCGGAGGTTCGGGCCCGTCTTGGGGATTCGCGGGGCCCTGGGCGGGGGGATGCCGGAGAGGAAAGGTCACCCGCCGCAAAGCTAACAGACAAAGGTAGCGACTCCACCATCCGAAAATTCCCTGCGAACTCTAGCGTCTGGGAGGGGCTGAGGGGGCACCCGGCGGCGACGGCGTTGAGGGAACTGCCTCGAAGGTCTTGAGGGGATACAGACTGAGGGGGATGTAAGGTCCCGGCCACCCGCCGCGATTCAAGATTGTGCCCTCTGGGGCTAGACCCTAGCGGGGTCCCTCGTCCCAACCGCGTTCCCACAAATAACTCGCAGGGGCAGCAGGATCCCCAGTGGGGGCGCGGCGTGACGTCACTGCCCAGTCTCTGACGTCACGGGGTTGCCTTGGCGACTCGACTTGCCTTGACCCAAGCTGGGAGGGGGCGGGATCCTGGTAAGCAGAGGCGGGGCTGAATGCCTTTGGGTAGCTGAGGGGTGAAGGCTGACTCCCCCCAGCCCTCACTGCAGTCTTTTGACCTAAATCCTCAGTGCCCCATGAGATGGGGGAGGGAGGTGGTGCCAGCTGTCCCTGCTGGTGGCCCTCGCTGCAAGGACAGGTGTTCAGAGCTTTGCCCATGTACCCTGGCAGTGCCTGGGGGCTCAGGCCTCCCAGAAAGAGCAACTTTCTGCTTCCAATGAGGGGTGCTAAAGAGGACACCTCCCTGAGCTCCACCAGATACTCAGCCAGGAGGCTGAAGTTCCAAGGGTGCCCAGAGAGATGTGCACCTCCAGCCTTCAAACAGGCTCCTTCTGCTCCGGGAAAATGTGGGTGCCCCACCCCCAGCCAGGGAAGGTGCAGAGGAGCTGCCGCCTGTGGCCCTTCCAAGTCCAGGGGATCCCCCTGCTGTTCAACCCCACAGTGGTGACAGTGGCCAAGCTGAAACTCCTGACTGCCCCCTTCTCCTTTTGATGTTTGAGATGATTTTGGCGAGCACAGTGTGATGCACGTTAAGTGAATGGAGGGCGAGTCAGGCCATCAGTGCCGAGGTCTGAGTAAAGTGTGTCTCTGCCAGGGGCCAGCGTTGATGGGCTTCGCGCAGCACGCCCCTCCCCCACCTGCCCTCTCAGCACTGGCCCTGTTCCCTGCAAAGGCCCAGAGAACCCCCAGCCAGCATCCTGCTGCTGGCTGTGTGATTCTTCCTCTAAGTCCTTCCCAGAAATTACTGCCAGTGTCGGATGTGGGTGCAACTGCTGTGATCACATTTCTAGGAAACGGTTCGAAAAGTGTGTCATTGCTTCAGTGGCGTGGGAGCCGGAAAGTGTGTGTTTGGGTCCTTAGGAGATGCCAGGCCCCAGTGTGTGCAGCGAGCATTTTTCCTGTTCTCCTACCAGGCGCTCTAGCCAGATTAACAGGTCAATAAATATCAGCGGAGATGCTTTTGGGGGCTTGGCAGGGAGATGGTATTTCCAGCTGAAATGGTGTCGTTAAACACACAGGCTTCCGAGGACAGAGGAGCAACAGCAGATTGGGGAGAAACTGGGAGAGGTGGGCAGAAGGGCTGTTTGCTCTGCCTCTCGAAGCTTCCCAGTTTAGAAACAAACTCAGAGTGCTCGCCAGAGATTCACAAACACAGGCAGTTGGAGGCCCTCCGTCAAGTATTTACACTTTCTCAGCCAAGGCGGAGGGAAAGGCTGTCAGAATTGGGCGATTCCTTCTGTTCCCTTCCCTCAGCTCCCTGGGCTTGGCAATCAGCGTGCCAGACGACAAGCAGGAGGGAGTGCCAGCTTTCCCGGCGTCTCCCCATGTGCCAGGCATTTTACACGCTCTCAGTTACTCTCTGGAGGAGCTCATGTGCTGTGGCCCATTTTATAGATGAGGAAATTGAGGCTCAGAGGACGTGATGGGCTTCAGGTGATCAGTCAGGCAGCTGCAGAGGTTTGGCCCTGAATTGCCCTGGCTTCAGGGTCCCTGCGTCTTACCCCCGTCTTCCTTACCTCCCCCTTCTTACCCCCCCCATAGAGGGGTGCCCCTACTTGTTGGATAGGGGTCCCTGCAGGAGTCGGGGGCTGTTGGCTATGGAGGGAGTCTGGCCTCACCAGGATGCATGGTTCACACCAAAACCCAGGTTTGGACCGCTTCCCGTCACCAACAGGACAGAGTGGCAACTTCCGCCCTGGCCTCGTGGTCAGCCTGTCCCCTTCACCCCTGGACCTGCTTCCTCCGCACTGAGGGAGGGAAGGTGTGGCATGAAACCCACCTGCCAGCAGGCCCGCCTTAGGCTCCTTGTCATCTGCCGCTCTGGGCTGGCTTGGAGGAGGGTGGCGAGGCTGCCACGGCGCAAGGGCAACTTTGGTAGATGCGCTCCTGGCCCCGCCTGAGGGCTGGGAAGGGCCCTGTAGGAGGGCGCCATGTGAATGTGGAAAGGACAAGCAGCGAGGAGCCAGACAGAGGAAAGAGGGTGTTCCAGGCAGTGCCAGTGGCCCCGGAGAGGGCCAGTGATGTCTGTGGCCCTTGTGTTTAACTGGGGAAGGGGTGGCCGTTGGGTGGCTGTATCCTGGAGCCTCAGGTGGGTGGGGAAGGTTTTTGAGCAGGGGAGAGGCTCCAGTGAGGGCCCTGGACAGGGCAGCGGCCCTGGACAGCCCGCAGGGTGGGGCGGGCCTTCTCAGGTCTCCTCTCTCAAGGTTGGCACCCCACCCCCACGCCGGGTAATCCCTCTCGCTCGTCTAATTCCATGTAAGCCCATCCGTCCCCTGTCCCTTCTGAGCCTGGACCAGACAGGGCCAGGGCTGGGCTGCTTAACCCCCCTCCCCCTCCCTGAGAACCTTGAGGCTCCCCAGGGATGGCAGAGCTCGTGGTTAAGAGCCAGGCTCTGGAGTGGGTTGGGCCTGGGATCCACTGGGGCTGGTGTCTGAGCCCAGCCCACCACTTGCAGGCTGTGTGACCTTGGGTGAGTACCTTAGCTTCTCCCAGCCTCAGTTTACTCATCTGATAATAGCACCCACTGCCTAGGGTCTAGTGAGAATTCAGTGAGGGCCTGGCACAACCTTTAGCATACAGTAAGCACTCAATAAACGCAGATTCTCATGGCTACTGTTAGCCTCATCCTCAGAGCCTTGAATGGCTGTCCCAGGCCCTCGGAGCCAAAGGTGGAAGAAGCCAGTTGCAGGGCGGGCGCCGGGTCCTTCCAGCTGCCCCTACCGAAAGCACCGGCGGGGCGAGCACACGTGCTCCCCTCTGAGCTCTGGCGGCGACGGAGGGACTTGGCCAAGGGCCCCTCCCAGCCCCCGCGGGCCCCGTGCCCTCCCAGCCCTGCCTACCGCCGGAGGGAGCGAGCGCAGCGGCTCGCACGCAGGGACCGTAATTCAACCCGGCGGTGCGGCCTCCGCTCGGGCGCGGTGGGAACGCGGGGCGTGCACAAAAGGGCCGCTGTGTCACCTCCCGCGGGCCGGGAATTGCCGCTCTCCCCCAGCCGCGGCCGGAGCCGCCTTTATTGTGTTAACCCATTTGCGTGTCAAGAGCTATTGTGCGCCTTCGCCGCCGGGCCGCGGGAGGAGGGCTGCGCCGCCGGCCGGTCACCTCCGCGGGCACCGCCCGCCGCCCTGATTGGTTGCTAAGTGATTTGCATCCAAGGTAATCACTTTTATCTCAGAAGGATGTCGACTATAATTATAAGCTACTGACATCTTTTGAAATCTGCCTAATGACTATTTTAGTCTGCACGGGCTGGGGGTGGGGAGGGGGATTCTTCTGGAAGGGGGTGGAGGCTGGGAAGGGAGATGGATTCCTTCCACCTGGACCACCGATTGCTTAGCCGAGCGATACCTACCTGCCACCTGCGTGCCTCAAACAAAAGACGGGGGCCCTGGGATGGGGGGCTTGCATTCCTGGGGTGGAGTTAGTACCATTTCAGAGATGGGGAAATGGAGGCCCATTCGAGTGGGGCACAGACCAATAAAAATGGTCATTATACCTGGATAGAGGTCACCAGTCTGGAACCTCCTACAGTTTATATCATAACCCTAAAGAATGCAGGTGCTGATATTAACCCCATTTTGTTAGGAAACGGGAGGTAGATGGCTGCCCAAGGTCACAGCCAGGGGGTGGCAGAAGTATGAGGTTTGATGGTGGCCAGAGGTGGGAGGGTTCCACTGGGCACCCTGGCAGCCACTGTCCTGGTGGCAAAGCTCTAAGGAATCAGCCCACAGCCTCCATACGGGGTAAGATGAGTCTGCAGCTGAATCAAATTCTGGACGGGCTGGCGGAGAGACACTGAGGAGGGAAAAGTCGCAGCAGGTCTCGGAGGGCTTCCTGACAGAGAGGAGGTGTAAAGCTCTGGGCCCTGAGGACTGAGTGGATCTGCCCAGCATGGAGTGAATGGGGGTGTCCCTGTCAAAAGGAATTCAAGAACCTAGCGGCAAGAGCAGGGGGAGCTTATGAAAGGTAGAGGTAAAAGGGAGATCAGCTAGGAGGCTGTTGGTGGGGGCCTTGAGTGCCGAGCTAAGGCCCCTCTGGGGTCCAGAGGAAGAGCAAGGCCAGGCTAGGTGTCTGCTCGGGGAGGGTGTGAGCTGGGTGCCCCACAGGCCAGCAGGGAGCTTAGGAGTTGCAGATCTGGGATCGAACTCCAGCTCCTGCACTCTCACTGGCTGTGTGTCCTCAGACAAGTCGCTTTACCCCTCTGGGCCTCAGTTTCCTCACTTGTTCACGAGGGTAATAGTTTTCTCAGGGCTTGTGAGTGGGATGAGTTTGGGTATGCAGAGTGCTTGGGGGAGTGCTGAGGACAGCAAGGAGGGGGTCTCTGCTGAAGCCCTTGGAGCTGGGTGGGCTGGGCTCAGACACAGGCCC